GTCCCCAAATGTCCCCAAAATCCTCCCCTCCCTCCCCAAAACGCGGGCGCAGCGCTGGGACCTGCCACAGGCTGCGTGTCCCCAACCAAGTGTCCCCAAAGTGTCCCCAAGCTCAGGGATGACGCCCCAAAGTGGCCCCAAAGTGTCCCCAAGCTCGAGGACAACACCCCAAAGTGGCCCCAAGATCAGGGACGATGCCCCAAAGTGTCCCCAAGTGTCCCCAAGCTCGGGGGTGACGCCCCAAAGTGTCCCCAAAGTGTCCCCAAAGTGTCCCCAAGTGTCCCCAAATGTCCCCAAGCTCAGGGACATCCCCGTGTCCCCTCTGTCCCCTCTCTTGGCACCTTGAGCCCCCCACGGGTGAGGTGGGGACCCTCCCCCCGGGGTGGGTGACGGTGGCACGTCCTTGATGTCCCCAAACTTGGGGACACTTGGGGACCCTCGGGGGCACTTGGGGACACTTGGGGGTTGCCCCCAAGCTCGGGGACATTTGGGGACATCCCCCATGTCCCCTCTGTCCCCTCCCTTGGCACCTCCAAGCAGCAGCTCCAGCCCCCCCTGGATGAGTCTGGGACCCCCAGGGTGGCACATCCTTGTTGTCCCCAAACTTGGGGACACTTGGGGACACTCGGGGACACTTGGGGGTTGTCCCCAAGCTTGGGGACATTTGGGGACATCCCCCATGTCCCCTCTGTCCCCTCCCTTGGCACCTCCAAGCAGCAGTTTCAGCCCCCCAGGGGGGTCCCTGGGCGAGTTTGGGACCCCCGGGGGTGGCACATCCTTGACGTCCCCGACGTCCCCAACGTCCCCGATGTCCCCAATGTCCCCGACGTCCCCGAGGTGTCACTGCACCGGTGCCACCACCAGGACCTTGCACTCCCTCTTGGCGATCTTGTCCAGGGCCAGCACGGACTTGTCGGGGGGCAAGTACAGGGGGCGGCCCACGGGGGACCCCACGGGGGGGGTGATGGCCCTGCGCTCCATCACGCTGCCAGACCTGGGGACAACGGGGACATTGTCACCTCCCAGTGTCCCCAGTGCCCCCCAGTGTCCCCAGTGTGTCCCAGTGTCCCCAGTGTCCCCAGGGGGGGTGATGGCCCTGCGCTCCATCACGCTGCCAGACCTGGGGACAACGGGGTGCCACTGTCACCTCCCAGTATCCCCAGTGTCCCCAGTGTGTCCCAGTGTCCCCAGTGTCCCTGATGTCCCCCCCCAGTGTCCCCAGTGTCCCCGATGTCCCCCTCAGTGTCCCCAGTGTCCCCTCCAGTGCCCCCAGTGTGTCCCCAGTGACCCCAGTGTACCCTCCAGTGTCCCCAGTGTCCCCCAATGTCCCAGTGTCCCCCAGTGTCCCTGATGTCCCCCCCAGTGTCCCCAGTG